TTTTGGCAGCATGGCTCCACAAAAGCAATACTACCAGCTTCTGTCTGTCACTGGGAACTCCTTCCCTTATATAGAAGGAACTTCAGGGGAAACCTAACACAAGCCAAAGCTTGTCTACTTGTTCTACACAAACTGCATAGGAATGAAGTAGGATGGTTTATATTCAGCTGGATCTATTCCACTCCTTGTTAACACCCTACATGAACTTCACAACTCAGAAAATTATTTGGGGGTGTGCCTCCCCAGCAGGTAAGTCCCACCTGGCCGGGGCCCCACTCAGTTTACCCCTGCTCCTGCCTCTGCAGCACTGTGCCTCACTGCAGAGGCCTCAGTCTAATCCCCGCCCCTTCCCTCCTTCACGGACTGACTAGCTGGGCTGGGATGTGTGCGTGCATGCACATGGGCCCTCAGCCCCCAACCCCAGCCTTGGATGACTCCAAAAGGCTCTGAGATCTACCGGTAGATTGACATCTGCTGGTTGGTGACTGCTGTTGTACAGGTACCTATCTCCTCCTCTTCTGTATGGGATGGGATGGGGAATTCACCTGGGTACCATCTGTAAATGGATATAGGAATTCAGAACCTCCAGTGCTCTCACCTCTTCAGTTCAGTGCCCAGTTTACCCTGAGCTGAGTTTACCCCTAATTGGTGGAAATCACCATAGCTCCCAACATAAGCTTACTAGCAGTTTTTCTCCTCCCCATTATATGTACGTGTATAAACCAACATGGACACAGATGCCCTTCCCTTTATCTTTTCTTCTACACATTGTCTTTCTCTCCCAAACCTCATTGATATGTCATGTCTTTTATCAATAGACCATAGTTAGAGAAGCAACTGGACAATCTTGCCTCTGCAGCACTGTCCTACAAATCTCCTACTGGATATACTAAGACTAATAAAGAACTTAACCCCCCACCCCCCATATCTTTAACTCTTCTCCCCTCCCCCCCCGTATCTATGGGCAGTGCATGTGCATATTGCTTATATTTTAGTTTAGTACTTAAGTAGTGCTTGGCTGACTCCAGTGGCAGTGGTACCCTTTTAACACCCAAGAAACAATTGAATAAATTAATAAAAAGCACCAGATCTGCTTGATCTTTTTCCTGTTGACCTTATAGCAAGTTAAAAGCTGCACATCTGGATCTAAACTTGAAATGAGTGTATGAAATATAAGCCTTGCTCCTATTTAAACCACTACATATTGTTTTTTATGCTAGGACTGAGGATTCTGGCTCTTTCCTGTCAGCTGATGCTAGAACTAGGAACCCCATGACAAGCTTATTGTTTATTATAATAGTTCTTGACAGGTTTTGAATCAGATTGGGTTTTTAAATCTACTGGAACTAGATTTGCCAGGAAATATGATTAAATGTAGTTTTAAAATAACATTCATCTTTCTTAAAATGTGCAGCTATTTTTTATATTTCTGAAAGTGATGGCTCATACAAAGCATATCTAATACTGCTATGCTATTCATTGCAAGCCTGATTCTTCCACCTTTATTTGTGCCCATTCATTTTTTACTCCTCAAGTAATCCCACTGGAATCAAAAGGATATCAGAAGGGCTACTGGCAGAGTAAGACATCCTTATCTGTGATAGACATAGGTGAATCAGACCTGTTATTATTTGCTGTAGCATTCAAAATTCCTGGTGGCCTAAAAGTAACTGAAAGGCCATTTAAAGATATCTTTTAAGAAAATAAAACATTTATTAAAAAATCCTTTTCTGGTTATTTTAAGGCCTAGATTTTGGAAGCTTTACATATTGATATTTGTAGTTCTCAGCTAACAGATTGCATATATCTGTCTACACGTTTGAGTTCTCATTTTCAGCTGCTGGCTGCAGGCTATCTTTCTACTTCTGGTTTTGTGGAGAATGAGATTGGATGAGAGAATAAGGAACTGTAAAAACAATATGTAGTGGTTTAAATAGGAACGGGGCTTATATTTCACACATTATACATAATACACCTTATTTCATATTTAGATCCAGATGTGTAGCTTTCAACTTGCTATAAGGTCAACAGGAAAAAGATCAAGCAGTTCTAGTGGTATTTCCTAATTTATTCCATTGTCTCTTGGGTGTTAAAAGGGCACCATTGCCACTGGAGTCAGCCAAGCACTACTTAAATACTAAACTAAAATATAAGTAATATGCAGATGCACTACCCATAGATATAAGGCGGGGGAGGGTTAAGTTCTTTATTAGTCTTAGTACATCCAGTAGGAGATTTGTAGGACAGTGCTGCAGAAGCAAGAATGTCCAGGTGCTTCATTAACTGTGCTCTATTGATACATGACTTGACATATCAATGGGGTTTGGGAGAGAAAGACAACGTGCAAAAGAAAAGATAAAGGGAAGGGCATCTGTGTTCATGTTGGTTTATACACGTACATATGATGGGGAGGAGAAAAATTGCTAGTGCGCTTATGTTGGATGCTATGGTGATTGCCACCAATTAGGGGTAAACTCAGCTCAGGGTAAACTGGGCACTGAACTGGAGAGGTGAGAACACTGGAGGTTCTGAATTCCTATATCTATTTACAGATGGTACCCAGGTGAATTCCTCATCCTGTCCCATACAGAAGAGGAGGAGGAAAGTAACTATTTTAAAATCCTTCATTCCTGATCCTACTTTCATTGAAAGTGCCAGGGGAAAATGGGAACCAGCAGCCAGAAGTAAATGTACTTCCTGACGTGAGTCAGGAGGCTGGTCATTAAAGAAACCTGGAACCCTTCTTTGTGTCACTGATCTGAATGCAGTTCAAGATGGTTGCCAACAAAATCTCTCATCATATAATTCCCACATACCTGACTATTTAAAATGAGCAGATGGCATGAAATTCAGTGCCTTGTGGATGAGTGTCCTTATCAAATGCACACATATGAAAACCCATGAACACACACAAAATCTACTTGGCATTAGTTGGCACTCTTACTGGCATTTTTTAGGAAAGAAGCTGATTGAGCGTGAAGACTAACTACTATCTTTGCCCTAGAGACATAGTCCTTTCAAGTCAGAAGTGAGACGTATTGATTGAGAAATTTGGGGAAACTCGCACCAAGGCCAATTCTATTCTACTTGTTCTGTGGACAAATAGACAACTGCATATTCAGGCCTGTCAATCAAGAAATGTTATCTGGCAAAATTAATGCAAAATACTTTAATATAAAAAAGCAAAGTGGTGGGGATGGGGGAGCTACTAGCTCTGACTTTCTTGATGTTTTGGAAGAATATTTCAAAACATGCATGAAGTGTAGCTTTACTCTGTAAGACTCTTTTACAAAAAGCATTGTGGGTTTTTATATATATATATATATATATATATATATTCCCCCCCAATGGTTAAATGGCCAGTTTATAACTGAAAATGCATTTCTAGATGTCTGGCCTGTAAACCCTCCCTGGAATCTGAGAGTCAAGGTGAGATATTCCTATCTCATGCATGTCCAAAAATAAAGTCTCCATCTGGAGTTTAATATATACATTGGAACTGAACTCAGCTTCCTCTCCTGAAGCTGTTTTGTTTCTACAGCGCTAATAGGAGTTAAAAATCCTGAATTCTGTAAATAAAGTAATCAGATATCACACTATATATATTAGGGTTACCATTCATCCAGGTTGTCCCAGACATGTCCTTTTTTTGGATCCTCTGACCTCCATCTGGGCAGTTTTTTGAAATCTGAACAAATGTCTGGGATTTTGCTCTGCTCTGCCAGTGGGACCAGGGGGAGGGTGATTAGAGGCAGGGGACACCATGTATATCTGGGTGCGTGCACACACACATGGCCAGCACGCACCTGGTAGAATGGTTGAAGCAGCCTCAGCAGCTGGATGCAGGTAAGTCTATGGGAAGTGGGGGTTGGAGGGCCAGGGCTTGGGGACTGTTGAGGGGCGGGGGATGTAGAAGAGATTGGTGTGTGAGGAGGGTGGATGCCTGCCAGCATTAGGGTTCAGCATTAGTGTTCAGGCACTAGGGCTGTGGGGGAAGC